ACGCAGCCTCCTGCTCCAGTTTTTTATTTTGTATCTTAAGTATTTCTTGTCTTTTTGCCTCTTCCTCCCTTTTTTTTTCTTTTGGACAATTACATGACCAATTGGCCAGAATTTATTTAAAAAAATTCTTTATTGAATTCCATCAGGCAAATCTTTCTAGTACTTAAAGATGTCATTAGAAAAATTCAAGCCCTCGATCTGACCGTTTAAAAGTGTTATTTAACTGAAAATTAACACAATTACCAATTAGTAAATAAATTTAAGAAGCTACTAAACCCAAATTTCGATAGAAAAAGGTCTTTAGACTATGGAAACAAGTCTCTAGAATCTACTCACTCTACCAAAAATATGGATTAATGAATTTTTATGATTCAATAGAAATAAAGTAACAATGATAAAAAATTACCGTTTAGCACTGCATAAAGTATCCCCTTCTCCGCCAATGAAATCGCTGGATTCGTGAATAGTACCCGGTACTATTCAATTTTAAAAAAATGGTGTGCTTGAATAAGACCCCGGGTACTGTATGCAGTGCTAAACGGTACTGTAGATGATTGAATCTCATCGAAAATCTACCAACTACACAACTTAATACACGATCAAAGTGTGGTCATCTAATAAATAATGAAAATTCTAATTTAGGTGTTCAGATACGGTCACTTTTCTCATTAACTAAAAGACGATGTAATTTTTTTAAACTTAATCAAGCTTTCTTAATTACTTTCTGATTGAATTTGATTACCAATTCAGTTGAATATATGTGAATTTTCAAATCTTTGTTGATACACACTGTCACAAATTTTAAATTCGTGACATGAAAAATTTCTCTAATACATTTGTAGTTTCTTAACATATAGTGTAGCACGTTATCACGCCTACGTGTTAACAAAATGACCTGATTCTATCTATGTTTAATAGCACGATAATGTGGTGTAATTAATTATAATGTTGTGAATAATTAAACGAGATATTCCTTTCATGTCTAAGAATATTATGATGCATACAATTTTTTTTTAAGTTCAACCATCCCTAATCTTTAAAGAACATTAATTTTACGTAGTATTTACTGTATGATGATATATAGTGTTTGCAGTCGATTACGTATAGTCAATTTTTATCGACTTAGCTGGCTTAGTCAGCCAATTTTCCAAAAAATCGATTTTACATTTCTTTCTTAGTACATAATACTAAAAGTAAGAGCTGAAAAATTCCGAAAAAAAATCAACAAGCATAAAATACGAGCAAGGTCATGACAAAAATTTGACGAAATCACCAATAAATTCCAAAGGTAAAAAATATTTATCGATTCTGACTTAGCCGGCTAAGCCAAATTTTAAATATATGGGGTCTTTGCCTTGAAAATCACGTTATGGGACATAGTAAATTATATGTTCCATAACGTGATTTTCAAGGCAAAGACCGTGTTGCTAGTAATTGTAATTCACGTGAAATTGTTTTCACTCGATTGCTATTGAGAGGCTGTATTGGTTATAAATTTTATATATATTTCGGGATCCTACGCCATTTAAAACCGAGTTCTAACTCGTTAACGTTAACTTTAAAATGCCAAAACCAGTAAGGCAAGAAGATCTAGATTTCGTTTCTTGTGAAAACGATCGCTACGAAAGTGAAATATTTAAATGGAAAAATGATCGGTTAGTTGTAAGTAATTATAACTACGTTTTAATTCATAATATTTGCTAATAAGTAATTCTTGATTATAGGAGGCCATTATACAAGAAGAGTTTGAATTTGCAAAAGAGACTTATAAAGCCAAAGCAATTGCACATAAAAAATACGAAGCAGCAGAACAGAAGCGTTTAAATGCTGATAAAGAATGGCAAAAATACTGGGAACAAGTAGCTGCTAAGTAGTAAGTATTTTTTCATATTTGATTTATAATATCTTTCCGTTGAATGATGTAATTTACTCAGGAAAGAAAAAATTTATAATAGTGAGAAAGAAAAACTTGAAAGGAAACGACAGTTTGAATCAGAGCAGGCTAAATGGAGGCAAATGGCTGATGTAAGTGATGCAAGAAATGTTTTTATTTTTTAATATATTTTGATCTAATTAATAACATTCTTGATAGGAATATGATCGTAAGATTAAAGCACTGAAGCAAGCCGAAGAAGATCGAAAAAAAAGGGAGGAAGAGGCAAAAAGACAAGAAATACTTAAGATACAAAATAAAAAACTGGAGCAGGAGGCTGCGTTGGCTGAAGAAAAGAGGAAAAAAGAAGAGGCTTTAAAAGCTGCGGAAAACGCCAAGAAGGTTCAAGATAATGCCAAAACTGTGACCAATGATAATACTAAAAATCTTGTTACAGACGAAATTTTGAAACAAGAACAACTTTATCGCAATATGCTCAAAACTATACATGATAAATTTTCAAAAAATCCTCAGCTGAAATCTGCGACTACTGAAGCGAGAAAAAATATCACATTAGGATTAAACATTCTTACGAATGGTCGTGCGGAAATTATCAAAATTGTAAAATTTATATTTATTTATTACAGTAAATGCAATTTTTTAAATCGTTACTGTGATTTAACTGATGTCTTATTTATTTAGGCTACTCAATTTGATGCAATGCTGAGAAGCCATAAAAACAATTCGGACGTTTACTATTTTCTAATTAATTATATTGCCAAAGGAGTAGTGGTCTGTACAATAGGGTGACAGTGTAATAAATAGATATTTAAGACACTAACCTTTTTATCGTTCAATTTTATAGAAACATGCTGAAGTTGATGTAGTATCTAAGGAATCTGCTGCATTCCCTTTTGCTCATTTGTGTGTGTTGATTTGTACGCAGCATACAGAATTCATGGAGTTTTTAATGACTCGCCTCGTTAAAAAATGTCCTTATGTTTTACCACGCTATTATGCCCGTCAGGCCGTAGGTTTCCATATTTATATATAAACACACATATATATATTTGAAAAGAATATATCATATTTGAAATAATTGATACATTTAATCATTTTGTAGAATCAAAGTCTGGAGGAATATAAGAAACAAATGTCATATAAGCCAAATGAAGATGAAGATGCCTACGTTAATCGAATGTGTGCAATTGTAGCTCTATATTGTGCAATAATGCAAACACAGCCTTTATATTCTAGTACGTTCAACAATTAATATACAGGGTGTCAGTAAAAAAGGGACAATCATTTTTAGTAAAATTCTTTTTGAAATTTAATTAAAATATCTCAGCAATCTCAACAACATAGAGCAAAGTTTTTTTTTTAATTATATGATTATATAGAATCAAATCAAAAAACTTATTAAAATATCTTGATTTAATGTTCAAAAAAATTAAAAATTTTTTATTTAGGAAAAATTCGTCCCTTTTCTACTGACTTTACTCTATATATGCTATTTGTTTATTATTACATTGTTAACCGTTTATTTCATTTGGCTTTGCAGATCTTAAAAATCCATATGGCATTGATAATGCTTGGACATATCTAGCACGTTTAATGAATTTGAGGCCACAAAAAATTACGCCATCACTTCTTTATATTTGCCTAAAGGTGACTAAATAGCATTTTCTTAACAGTTGTGCTAGGATTATTACTTTATATAATTATTTTTTATCATTTAGATTACTGGTTCGAGTCTTCTTCGTGCATATAATCAGCATGCACTGAAATTATTTTCTGTTGTTTATAAGAGTTATGTTCAAAGGCCTCCTTCAGAAGTTAATTCATTGTTGACAAGTGCGCCAGCTGCAATGTCCAGATTACGAACATTACTTGAGGATGCATCTAAAAAAGGACAATTTCCAGTTCCAGAAGGGCAAACTCCTGATTAAATAGAACTATATGTTTTTATTATTTAGCGAAAACAAAGTATTTTGGGATCATCGTTTCCTTTGTTATGAACGGCAAATTCAATAATTTATCATCGAACTTTAGCCATCAAGTTAATTTGTATTATATAATTTTTTTGCATTACAATCCATAGCAATCATATTTCTGTTTTAGACAAAATGATCTCAAATAAATATAACTATCGATACAACGGACAATTTTATGTTCGTCATGCATGAATACACAATATAATAGAATTTTGTATTAATAGTTAGTTGTAATCAGCTGTAGTCACGTTGGAAATACAGGAAAATATTTAAAATATTTATATTATATAATAATATATATATATATATATAAAATTACTACATATCACCAGTGGTGATCATCACCAGTCCTAAGATTTGTTAGGGTTAGGGTTAGAAATTAGAGAAT